AGCCGCTCGATCCCGCAGACCCAGACTTCGTTGGCATCAAGCGGCTCGAGGAGAAGGGCACGATGGCGTACCTGCGCGACGGTGCGAAGCACCTCCTCACGGTAGACCTCTTCACCGAAGTACGCCCTCTCCCTTCCCTCTCCCGCCCCGCTAATCCCCGCGCAGGAATTCAACCGCCGCTTCCCTACCGTGCGCACGATGCACGTCTTCCCGGGGAACGTCGCCTCTGGAAGCAACCTCTCCCATCTGCACTGGGTCTTCCGCGCGCTCTTCTGGGTGCTCGCGAAGTTCGGGCAGACGACCGCCGCGTACGCGGATGTTTGTGTGTGGCAGCACGCGAGCGCGGAGTGGAAGGCGCGCGGGTGGCACTTCTTCGACGAGAAGGGCCGCGAGGTCAAGGTGGACGAGCGCGTGCTCGCGGACGATGCGCTGAGGGAGGGTGTGTGGGCGCGGTTGCTGGAGCTATCGGGCGAGAAGCCTGTCTGAGAGTTATCGCCACGTATGTTCTATACCCGGTCACGCTGAATGTATTTATTTGATTGCACTGAGCTGAAAACACGCTCAAAGTCTCGATCGACCGAATGCCCCAAATGCCCATCTCAGAGCAATCGCTGCACCACGGCATGAAATCGGCAAATTACTGCATCGCTCAAATGAAGCCCTTACTTCAAACAGAGAAATTCTATGCACATTCGCCCTGCAATTATCATGTCCATTATGCGTATGTGCCGTTCTTGAGCAGCAGCTGGGGGATTACGCCATGTCCTACTCTGACGCCACTCCTTTTTGCTTCGCCACCACGGGGCCAGCCGGCCTGAGGAGGCTGGGAAGAGCACTAGGAACAAGGGCGGGAGAAGGAGGCCATATGTGGTGCAAAAATTAATATTGCCTCTTCACACGTGTAACTAAGTATGTACAGGTACGCGTCCCTGGAGTGGGGAAGCTCGCTTAGACATTTATAAATCAGCATTTGAATTTTAAGACAAGTACAGGACTGATCTATCTACTGATTCGTTACAGTTTCCAGCCGGTTTGTAGTCTGACTCTCAGAAATATCACAATAAATATATTTAAGAACAGCCCGTGACTGCAAAATCATGCACCATTCAACTGTCAAGATATTTCTGTTCAATATGGAGCGGGTCCCGGCCTCTGGTTGAGTCTGGGCTCTTTCTGAACAGGATGGAAGTATCTGGATTTACTTGAAATTTTCTGAGTTGGCAGAGAGAAGAGGTGTAGACGATGTCTGGGTCAGGGGAAGTTTCCGAAAGGGAATGGATATTTATCTGCGAAATATACACAGAGGCCTTGGAAAGATATCGATATTATGAGCAGTATGACAGCCTTGCCAGCGGCTTGGTGGCTGATTAGGGGGATTGCTTAGACACAGTGATTTCAGGCATAAATCTTCGGTGAGAGGGTTAATTTAGTTCAATTTCGTGCTACTATACATACATACAGTGATTGGTAGCCTGAACTGCGCCAGAAACAGTCGAAGTTGGGCAGGGTTGTGGAGGGAATGGTGACGCAAAAAGTCCGAGGCAGGCACTGACAGCAGCGGCGACAGCTGACTAAGCTCTCCGCAGATTGATAAGCAAACTGAAAATCGGGGCCCAAGCGAGATATAGGGGGGAGGCAAGCTCCCCCTATAAAGAAGGGCAACGAGGATGGGGTTTTGAAATGGATCGGAGACCATAGACTCACTAAAGCGATATGGCCTCGGGCCCACGTGCATTGGATTTCGACTCTCCGAGTCCAAGAAATCTTTGCCTTTCCTCCACAAGTCCCACACCCAAAGCAAACCTTATGATCCTGGCGCTTTTAGCAAGGAACTCAAGTTTCATTGGCTGACCCGAATTTCAAACATGCCCCAAGTTGGAGCAACTTGGATAATTGACCAGTTATAATCGTTTTAGGTCCGGGTCACTGCAGTAATCTCGTCCGCCCCAGAAATTCAAGTATTGGCTGTGTCTGCAAGCAAGCTTCGCGAGTGCTTGTAACAACCTTTGGGCTCCTGTTTGGATGCTATTCGGCATTGGGACACGTATCACCCGGAGGAAGGGTGGGTCGTGCGAACACAATGCAGTCATGCGGAAGCCACCTCAACACCGAGGCACCAGGTAATCCTACAGCGTCATACAGATCATCCCCAGTCGAAAGTGGCGCGATCCACAGAGATTCGCAAAGATTCCGTACGACTAAGGCTATGGGAATCGAAAATTTGGACTATACGGGATGAGAATCCATTTGCAATGCATCCTCGCAGAATGCCTTAGATTGGTATAGATGGAAATAGTTTCCCCTTGATTAGCTGTTGATTCGGCCCCTGGCTCGGTTTCATTGTGCAATATAAAATCAAATTTATTATTGCTGCTACTCGAGTACACTACTAGGGGACCTTAAAAGCTACTCATAGCTGCCTCCCCCGCCTACAATTACCCCAATCTCCACTGCAAAAGTCATATTAGAGGGAAACTCGCCGGTAGACCCTCCAAGATGTAAAAGGCAGCCTATCACTGAGTATATTAGCATACTGATGCGCATATAGTCGCATAAATGAAACATACCTCTTATCTGGTGACATATCGACCGCAGACGCGATACCAACCTAGGAAAATGGGTTAAGGGAGCGCGACGTAGTAGAACAACTGAGCACGCGTACTATTTTCCCCGCGTCTCGCGTGGATCGCGTGCCGAGCTCCTCGCGCAGCCACGAAATGCGTTGAGTATCTCAGAAGTTCAGATTAAGGCGTCTGTGCAGCTGCTCAGAATGTAAGTTAGTGATAGGAGGAGC